CACATGAAAACACAAAGCAAGCAAGTCCTCCCAGGCCTGTGCACCCTGGCAAGTGCTGCAACTCATGCTCCCTTACTGCCTTTTCATGGTTCAAGGGATCTCAAAATTATTTTTCCCGTAAAGTAGAACAGCTGCAGCAAGAGGGTTGGTAGCCCGGTGTTTGAGGGTATGAGCCAAGAAAGAAAAACATGTGGGCTGGCTCTTACACTGCAGAAGATAGAGAACTTTTTATTTTCTCATCATGAGCCAGTCTCCTACTCACTAGATAGAAGGAGGCAAACCACTTCTCTAAGTTTCTTTTCTTTTTTTTTTTTTTTTAGTCATCGTCATCCGCTACTGCATCATTTAGCAAAGCTCCGTCTGGTGAACATACCACAGGGAGACTTGGAACGCACTCACATGCCATTACCCTTAGAAACATCAAAAATGAAGGAGAAAATTATCTAGTTTTGGAAACCTCGTTAGGTCTAATTGCAGTTCAGCTAGGAATCCAGTAGCTATGTGAGAAGACTGGTCTGTGAAATATACTGAGATAGAAAATTCTGAGGAGATCCTGATATTACTTTAAACCCTTCTACCCTTAGTTAGAACTTGTTTATTTGAGCTGGTTTAAAGTCATTGTATACACTGAAATGCATAGTTTCTGCAGGAGCTGCAACATATGGCAGCATCTATGTTAACTACCAGGCTGTGTTAAATTCCACAGTCAAAGCCTGAACAAAGACATAATTTCAAATTAAATAATGATCCTATAACTCTTTTATTTACTGGTCTTTCATGATTTGTAGTGCACAAATATTTACATGCATAGGTATATATGTATGTGTGTGTGTGTGTGTGTGTATCCACACATCACATCATGTCTACAATGGAGGATGTCTTTATACCTCCATAGAAATAATGAAGCCAGTTTTACAGTACATAGCACAAACACTGAAATCAGGATATCTACCATAATAATTTCTTTCTTCTCTAGAACCTTTGCAGATGGTCTGAGTTCTGCTCTGCAAGTTCTACAGTGTTAGATGAAGTAACTAGCTTTTTAACATGTTGCAAAGTAGCACAAATATACCCTTACCCAGTGTTACTTACATAGCCATAGCAACAGGGAGATGGGAGATTACTAATTGGGAAAACGAAGAAGTATCCCACTACCTTTTCCTATTTCAAGTAACTTTCCATATTATGAGTAAACCCATTTCTATTCAAAATGGCTTCATTTAGCTTGTATGTAGTTAAATATGGACTTTACACCCAGAGGAAAGGTATAAGTAGTCAACTCATTGTTTTAGGCTTCTAGAATTTGCAGACAGAAACATGAGGTAAAAGATAACAGTCAAGGACAATATACTTGTATGCTCTTTCCCTTATCTGATCTTCTGGATAATTTAGAGAGGATTATGTGAGTTCTGTTTATACAACCTGTATATGGGTTGTAAACTGGGATGCTTATACTGAATTTTAAAGACCCAGACTAACTGGCACTTCAACACTGTATGGTCTCTCACTTTACCACACTCTCTAAGTAACAGAGTAAAACATTTCAGCTCCCAATCAACCTGACCCAGGAATAGGTATTTCCTTAAAACTATTAAAGGCAGGCCTCTTATCCTTAGATACATGTTTCCAAACTTAATTCAATAAAATGAAAAAAAATAGAAATTTGGGATTATGACACTGAGTAATGATAGATTAATTTTCTGGGTCTTTCTGTGTAGCTTCACTCACAGAATAAAAACCTTCAGACATCAAGTCTAAAATGGATGATGTCTTTTTCTTCCACTCTGAATTTTCTCCTAGATGTTAACTTTTACATAGCAGATGCTCTCTAAATCCACGTATTTTAAATATAAGACACCAATCTCCAAAGTATACAGTTGAAAATACAATGGCTTTCTTAGATAAATACTTCTTTGGAAGATATATAGCATCCATAAACAGTCCTATTTCTTCTGGCTTACTTTTTACTTTTTGTGTTTTAACCCCTTTGAAATTCCAGGTCCCCAGATGGCTTCCATCAGTTCCCACCTCTCAGCAGATCCTTTGTAAGAAGCAGGCAATCTGTCCTTCATGCTTTGACAATAGGTCATTGTCTCCTTCCATTCATTCAATTCATACTTATTTATTTAATATCTTGTTAATGTTCAGGTCCTCTGGTTGCATTTTGATTGTTTTTACGGTGCCTGAGCAATTTTAATAACATAAAAGTAAAGATGCTTGGAAGTTTTATTCTAAGGCAGGGGGAGAGCAAGTCCCCCTGCCCCACATCTCAGTGAGTCTTCACCAGGCTCCAGATATTCAGTCTTTCCTCTGCAAAGACTTTGTTCACAGCAATCTTGTCACTACTGCTGACACCAAGTAAATTCGTCCTTGACCCTTGCCCTGACCCTTTTCCTTTCCTTTCCTCTGACTGTCCTGCTTCTCTCTGTGGACTGTCCTAGGACTGCCTTGCCTCCAGTTCCCCTTGCACTTTGAGGCCGCAATTTTTGATCAATAGAAGGTTTCCAGACAGCCTTGCACCTCCACTCTTCCACCCTGACATCACTGAGAGACAAAGTCAAAGAAACCACCAGGAGAAATGAATTAATGTGCCCCTTTTCTGTTTTTCTTTTCCTAGTGAAACCAACGATATATTTCTTGTGATGCTTTCTGTCTCAGTGGCATTTTATCTCTTCTAGCCCATTTGTAATTTACTGGATAAGCTTTTTCAGGGTCAGGATTTCTCTCTTTCTCTCTGTTTTTGGGGGTTTTTTTCCTACTTCTGTCCCATTTCCTACCTCGTTTCCCCGTCCCTTCCTAGTCCCTGGCCACCAGAACAAACCAAAAGACCAAATATTCATCCTGGGGACTTGAAATGGCCACGGTAACTGTTGTAACTTGTCTGTGGTCTAATCACATTAATTTGATAAGATCATCATCGGCAGGATGTCTAATTTATTTGCAAGCGGTAGCCAGGGAGAAGCTTTGACCAAATTAACATGCCGCCGGGACCAGGGGGTGCAGGCTCCATATGGCTCACTGGATTTTCCTATAAATAACCCTCCTCCAGCCCACTCCCGCGGTTACGTCCCTACCAGTATGCCGCAAAGTTCACCAGCGGCGCCGGACTCGAGCGGCACAGCCCCGAGCTGCAGGAGGCACCAAGGGGCTGGGCTGTTTCTCCCGCCTTCGCGCCTCCTCCCCGTCCTCCTCCTCCTCCTCCTCCTCCCGTCCTTCTCCCCCTCCCCCTCCTCCTCCTCTTCTTCCTCCTCCTTCTCCCCCTCCTCCTCCTCAGAGCAAGGCAGGGGAAACGCGGGTTTCCACTTGCACCACCAGAGGTGCAACTGGTTCTTCGCTCGTAGGCATCTGAAAGCCGTCCAAATGATGCAGAAACTTTTGCGTGCTTGGCTCCTGTCTTTAAGGCCAGGCACCGATTTTTCCGCTGTGTAATCTCTTTTGTCAGAAGGGTGGGAGCTGGGAAAGGGCAGCGGGGCGGGGGGGGGGGGGGATGGAAGGGGCGAGAAGGAGGGTGTTGAGAGAAGCAGGCGTTTTATTTCCACAGAGAGTATATAAGGAGCATCCCTAGAGAAATATCTATGCGTGGACATACACTCATCTCTAGATCTTTATCGAGATAAGAATAAGCGTCAGTTTCTACCCTACCCTGCCCTCCTTAAGGGAGACACTACACTCCGTGGGATCAGGTAGCGTGAACTGCTAACAGTGCAGCAATCCCCTCCCCCCTACCTACCCTCTTCTCTGTGATCATCTAAATTATGAAAAATAGAGAGTGCATTAATCCACGGTTCGACATTGCATAGAGAACACCAGCAAGAAACAAAATCCAGCATAAAACACCCTAGACTGCAGGGGAGGAAGAAACGCATTTAAAGCGACGATAAAAATGGCGTGCAGAATAATTACCTCAAATTGCTATTCGCTTGACACCCTGACACTAATTCTGTTCAAGTCATTGGGAAATACAATAAGGCAAACGAGCCTTCCTCTCCTTCTTGTGCAGGTGTGAGTGTGTGTGAATGGGGGCAACAAGGAACCGGTCGGGAGGAGGGGAATGCTAAACTTTCCATTTTAAAAGAAAAGAAATAAATTAAAGAATCCATTTAGAAGAACGCATCTAAATAGATCTACAGCTTTTAATGCCAGCGTTTTTAACGCTTGCCCTGTACGTGGATTGATTTTTTTTTTCTTCTCCAGCATTCCCTCAGCAGATGGATTTTTGCCACTGCAGCTCAGCAGAGGGTGTCAGATCTTTCAGTGTGCACCAGGTTGAAACGAGCAGAGCCTCTTAGCAACTCTCCCTCTGCGTGCATGTGAGTGTGTGCGAGCGTGCGGCTCGGCAGCAGCGGAAGAAAGAGGAAAGAAGAGCGAAGCGAGGCAGCGAGCGAGGGAGCGAGGAGGGGAGGCAGCGTTGCCGGCAGGGCGAGGCGAGGCGCGGCGCGGGCGGACGGGCGGGCGGGCGGGCGGCCCCGGCCCCGGCCCCGGCCCCGCGGCAGCTCCGGCCGCCGGCGGGCATGGGCAGCCGCGCTCCGCAGCAGCGGGGGCAGGCGCGGCGCAGCGCCGGCGGCTCGGCGGGCAGCGCCTAGGCTGGGGCGGGCGCTTTCAGCACCGCGGCGCTGGACAGCGCCCGGCGGGCGGCGGGCGAGGAGCGCGGCTCCGCCGCCGCGCGGCAAGGTCAGTCCGCGCGGAGCCGCCACCGCGCAGCCTCCGCGGCCAGCGCCGCGCTCCCGCCCGCGCCTCCCTAACATGCAGCGGCGGCCGGGGGCCAGCAGCACCGCGCCGGTGAGCCAGCCCGGCCGGCAGACCTCCACTTAGCTGCCCGGCAGGCGTCAGGGAGGGCGAGCGAGGAGGGGGATTTTTTTTCCTTCTACTTTTTTTTTTTTTTTTTTTTTCGCCTGCCTTGCAGTACGTGCCTGGATAGTTTTTGGATATAATTACTGACTGGAATCTGGGCTGTTGCAGTTGTGCGTGGGGGGGAGAGAGGAGAAAAGAAAGCATTTCCCCCCCCCCTCCGCCGACCCTCCCTGCTCCCCCACACACATTTTTTTTTCCTCCCCCTTCGCTGGTGGTTCGGACATTTAATGTATTGAATGAACTGGAATTGCTTTCCGTGTGAGGAGGATGGTTGCTGTTACTTTGTGATGAGATCGGGAATGAATTGCTCGGTTTAAAAATGCTGCTTTGGATTCTGTTGCTGGAGACGTCTCTTTGTTTTGCTGCTGGAAACGTTACAGGGGACGTTTGCAAAGAGAAGATCTGTGCCTGCAACGAGATAGAAGGGGATTTGCACGTAGACTGTGAGAAAAAGGGATTTACCAGCCTGCAACATTTCACCGCCCCAACTTCCCAATTTTACCATTTATTCCTGCATGGCAATTCCCTGACTCGACTTTTCCCTAATGAGTTTGCTAACTTTTACAATGCGGTCAGTTTGCACATGGAAAACAACGGTTTGCATGAGATTGTTCCTGGGGCTTTCCTTGGGCTGCAGCTGGTGAAACGCTTGCACATAAACAACAACAAGATCAAATCGTTCAGGAAGCAGACTTTCCTGGGGCTGGACGATCTGGAATACCTCCAGGCAGATTTTAATCTGTTGCGGGATATTGACCCGGGAGCATTTAGGGACTTAAACAAGCTAGAGGTGTTGATTTTAAATGACAATCTCATCAGCACCTTGCCCCCCAACGTGTTTCAGTATGTGCCGATCACCCACCTCGACCTCCGGGGAAACCGTCTTAAAACCTTGCCTTACGAGGAGGTCCTGGAGCAGATCCCAGGCATTGCTGAAATCCTGCTAGAGGATAACCCCTGGGACTGCACTTGCGATCTGCTGTCGTTGAAAGAATGGCTGGAAAACATACCTAAAAACGCTTTGATCGGCAGAGTGATTTGTGAAGCTCCCACTAGGTTGCAGGGCAAAGATTTAAATGAGACCACAGAGCAGGAGCTGTGTAAAAAGAACAGAGTAGATTCCAGCCTAGCTGCTCCCCCTGCCGAAGAAGAAACCTGCGATCCTGGTCCCATTCCAACCCCCTTTAAAATACATGGCAAAGAAGACCCTGCCACGCCAGGATCTGCTCCAAACGGAGGTACAAAGATTCCTGTCAACTGGCAAATCAAGACCAAACCCACTGCTGCCGTGTCGACAGTGAGTGCGAAGAGCAAACTACCAGCCACCTTTTCCTGCCCGCACATCTGCAGCTGTGATCAGATCCCTGGCTCAGGTTTAAAGGTTAATTGCAATGATAGGAATGTGAGCAGCTTGGTGGATTTGAAGCCCAAGCCCTCCAACGTGCAGGAGCTGTTTCTGAGAGACAACAAAATACACACCATCAGGAAATCCCACTTTCTGGATTACCGAAAACTTAATTTACTCGATCTGGGCAACAACAACATTGCCACCGTTGAGAACAACACCTTCAAGAATCTCTTTGATCTCCGATGGCTCTACATGGATAGCAATTACTTAGACACCCTGTCCCGGGAGAAATTCGCTGGGCTGCAAAACCTGGAGTATCTGAACGTGGAGTTTAATGGGATCCAGATGATCATGCCTGGCACCTTCAATGCGATGCCCAAACTGAGAGTCCTCATCCTCAACAACAACCTGCTGAGGTCTCTCCCGGTAGACGTGTTCGCCGGGGTCTCGCTTTCCAAGCTGAGCATACACAACAATTATTTCATGTACCTCCCGGTGGCGGGGGTGCTGGACCAGCTCACCTCCATCACCCAGATCGACCTGCACGGCAACCCATGGGACTGTACTTGCCCTATCGTGCCTTTCAAACAGTGGGCAGAGATGCTGCGCCCCAAGGTGATTATGAGTGACCTGAGGTGTGAGTCCCCTGAAGATTTCTTCAAGGAGGATTTCGAGTCTCTCTCCAACGATGTGATTTGCCCTCAGTTAAAAATCTCTCCCACATTAACTTCTACTAACAAAAACAGCACCGGGTTGACAGAGACAGGTACTCACTCCAACTCCTACTTGGAGACCAGCCGGGTCTCTATTTCGGTGCTAGTGCCAGGGCTTCTGCTGGTTTTTGTGACCTCTGCCTTCACAGTAGTTGGCATGCTGGTTTTCATCCTGAGGAACAGAAAGCGCTCCAAGAGGAGGGACGCCAACTCCTCTGCATCTGAAATCAACTCCTTGCAGACGGTCTGCGACTCGTCCTACTGGCACAACGGGCCCTACAGCGCCGACGGGGCCCACAGGGTGTACGACTGCGGCTCCCACTCCCTGTCGGACTGAGGCGGCGGGCGGGGCGGGGGCGGCCGCCCCCCGGGACCGGCCCTTCATGCGCCGGCCGGGGACAGCTCTGCACCTCCGCTGCTACCTTTTGTGAGAAGCGAAACACACAGACACCCGCACGCCCTTCCTCACGACCCCGATAGCAAGCGCCGAGGCCCAGTGGGCGGCGGGGGGAGCCCGGCGCCGGAGCGCATCCCTGCAGCGCAGCGCAGCCCGGCGCGGTGCGCGCATCCCCCGCCCGTGCGCGGCCGGAGCAGCGACAGACAGACGAGGAACAGCTTCCTTCGGCTCCGGCAGGGCGAAACACGGCTCCTGGTTTTGTTGGGCTTTTGTTCAATTGTGTTGGGGTTTGATTTGCTTTTTTGCCCTCTTCCCTTGTGGACCGACCCCTTTCCAAGAGGCCGGGAAAATGAGGGGAGCAGAGGACTGGTGTTGGCCTCCTCCTGACGGCAAAGCAGGAGTGGAAAGTTGCACGAAGGCATGAATGTAATGTAAATAAATGACTCCGACTCCGAAACAGACAGACAAATGGACAAAAAAAAAAAAAAAAGTGCTGCATGGCTCGCATGGATACAACACACCCCAGGGACGCTCCAGCCCCCGACTGGAAGCAGCGTCTAGTTCACACCATCATCCCTCTTACCTGATAAGTCCCTTCGTATCAAACCTTCTATATACAAAATACAGTATAATAAAAAGTGCCATTTCGCCAGTTTTTTTTTTTTGTGTGATCAATAGGCAGTAGAGATCGTACTTTTACCGTGGAAAAAAATTGTAAAGATTTTATTTAAGACATAGTTGCATGAATATTCTCATTGGATTTTTTTAAATTTTTATTTTTATTTTTATGTCTAGGTGGGAATTACTTTGCTGGGAGAGATTTGCTTTGTTGATAATGGGTTGTGTTTCATTTCTTCAGGGGAGGTGGGGAGGGTAGGCTTTGGTTTTGTTTTCTCTCTCTTCTTTTTCAATATACATAATCAGTATTGCCTTTCCATCTGAATGTAAAAATTAGTACCCTTGATTTCTATTATGGTAACAGTGTAAACATACAAAAGAAAAATCCAAGGCAGTTAAGCATGACCAATTAATGTCACTCTAGCGCTTAGGCTGCAAAGTTTAATGGTAGAAAATTCTGTGCTGTTGTAAATCTTACTATAACTTGAGGAAAACAGAACTGAGGAAGCAAGTGAAACTTACTAATTCTATTCGAGGATTTTATAATGGCATATTTTTTCAGTATTAAAGTGAAAATGTTTTCAACTCCGGGTCCTTACCATTTTTCCAGCATCCAATTCTTGCGAATGGGTTACTTGGGTTTAGTGGACAGAGCCTCCTTTCAGTGCTCTGTGTGTGTCTCTCTCCCTCCCTCCCTCCCTCCCTTTCTTTCCCTCCCTCCCTTTCTTTCCCTCCCTTCCTCTTTCTCATTCATTCACTGGCAGAGGCACAAACACCCTTCCTTCCCCCTTTCCCAATGTAAATAACACACAGAAGTTTCCTGCCTGCCTCCTCCCCTCTCCCTCACCCCCTCGCCTCTTTTTTTTTTTTTTTTTTTTTTTCCCTAACGAGGCGGTGAATCCCTTTATTAATACTGTGAATCTCATGCTGCTGCCGCTGCTGTCACCGCCTCTGCTGCACACACTGCAGATATATTAGGGATGTTAGTGGGAATTTGCTTTAAGTGCCTCTGCCCAGCTCGGTCTCATTAAGCTGGAGCCGAATTTCCGCGGCCAGAATTCCCGCCCGGGAGCAGATTGCCCGGTGGGGCAGCTGCGGGCGGCCGGGCTCCAGCAGCTGCCGCCAGTGGGAAAAACGAATTAGCCCGCAGAGATTTTCCCGTTCCTGCACTGGGTACCTCCACTCTTTGATATTAAAAGCTGAAAAAACCACGGCGCAGTGCTGCAGCTGGACTTCAGGCAGCTCGCCTTTGATCCCCTTCCTGTACGGGAAAGTGCCCCTAAACTCAGTCAAACCTGTAAAGGCGAAAGTCTCTGCAAATCACTTGTAACTTACAGCTCAAGTCCCAGTGGAGACATGGAGAATTTCAGTCACGTTGCTCCTGGCTTTCTCCAGGCAGAGAATCCTTTTCAAGAGTAAAACACCGTAAGGGACTTGCTAAACTTCAAATACTGATTTGGTTTGCTTTGTAGAAAATGCCCACCTTTGGGATCTGTGAGGAGAAAACAGACAAACATACACATTGCAATAGGTATGCTCTAAAAAGTGAGGCAGAAGCCTGATTCCAGGTATTCATGAAGAATTAAACATGGGGAATACATCATTCCTCCAGAATCCTTTATCACTGTGGAAAAATCTGCAGTCTCCTAGAAAATACCTTGAAGTTTGGTTGTGGAGCTCTGAAAATGGCATGGCCTGCTTAACTATACAAACCATTCCTATTTCCAGGACCCTTCTTTATTCCACCTTGCTGCTTCATTAGACAGATTGTTCTGCCAGCATGCTCTGTGTAAGACAAAGTGATGACAGTAGAGGCACTACTTTGCCATTGTGCAATCCACTGTTGAATAGTTTGAGAAGAAAAAACAAATGCACTTACATGTGGGCCAGTAATTCTGTCCTTGGGAGGCCATCAAATTTTAGCTTAGAAATAGTCAAAAATAACCTGTTTAGAAATGAGCTAGAGCACCCTTAGAAGACTACCTAAGTCTAGTTGCCTTCTTTGTGATATTGTAGTGATGAAATTGAGTAACTGAGAAAATTGAGAACACATCCCATGCTAAAAATAATAATAACTACATTAGAAGCACTGTAATGGAAGTTAAGATGAAGTGCATAATAAATTAAAATGTCAAATCGCTGACTGAGATCAGACATGCATGCATTTCAGAGAATATAATGCTAAATATGTAATTTTAATTTGTCATAATTGAAAAGTAGCATAAAGTTGGAAATTTACTCATTTAGCTTCCTAAAAGGGCTAGTTCACTGGCATACCTATATAGAAATGTCAATTCAATTGAAATGTTGAAGACATGTATTTATCAATCTGTTTCTAGGTTGTGGGGAAATGACAAAATGGAATTTTCTATGTAATTTTCTGAGTTTAACATTCACAGGATTCTTTCTTCCATCTTGCAGACACTTGCCCTTAAGACACATAGCTCACCCAACTCTCTGAGATGACGTAATAATTACCAGGCCTTGAATTACAGTGCTTATCTTATTTACACATGTAACACTTCCATGATTATTTTTATCAAACAAAACACTCAACAAAAAAGAAACATAAAAGAAAGCAAAGGGATTATTGAGAATGTTTTGAAGAGGAGTGAAGTTCAAATATATATGTTCAGTTGTACTGCATTAACAGCAATAACCAAAAAGTAAATGTTTTATTCACTGAGAATGACTTCATGATATTATTTTAACATTGGAAGCCTAAGATATCCATGCTGTGTCAAAATGGGCATTTTTTCCCTGCTAACTTAAGAATCTTGTAACTTCAAGTGTAGTATATATATCACATTAAGTTTCTTATTGCTTAATCATCACAGCAAAGGAATTTCTGTTCTTTCAGAAAAGATAGAAAAGAAAGAGATTTATTATTCAGCTAGTTAAAAAGGGTTGTTTGTGGTTTGTTTTTGTTTCTGCAAACACTTCAACTAAGAATAGCTAGAATTTAAACTGTTGCCATAGAAATCCATGCCTTTATACATGATAGCCTCCTGCATGCCATTGCAGAAGAGTGAACGGAATTCTAGAAGCAACCTGAAAAAATTTTAAATTCATACCCAGGTTGGTGTGTGTCATTTTGAGAAAAAGTGTGCTGTTGGAACTGCATAGAAATGTGTTATTATGTTGCTTTACTAAATGTATTGGCTGTGTCAGGTTATTTTATAACTTCAATGCAGTTGCATTCAAAATACAGTTTCAGATCTGATTGCAAACTAAGTGATGTAATCATTGAGGGGGTTTACTGTTCGGTTAGAGTTGTGGGTTTTTTTCTTAGTGGTTTTTTATTTAGTTTTGGGGTTTTTTTTAGCAAGAGTGGGGGCAGATGTCATTTCATGTAGAAGAAAAGGCTTTGTGTACTAGTCTTTACTCAGGTAGAAAAGCTGCGAACTACGCAAAGTGAACATTTCACATTTTTTCAAAACTCATTTGGGTGAAAATTAGGGCAGAAAGAGGTTGAAAAATGCTCGTTTTTCTCAACAGAATAATTTCTACCTTCCATTATCCATGAAATGATTTTTAGGTCTCACACATATGAAAGATTCCCAAAGACAAGTAGGTCTAAGTAAAGTTACAAACTCTTTCCCATCGTATTTTTGTCAGTGATTTCTTAAGTAGCAAAAGACAGCAGGAATTTGTTTGAGATTAAATGAAAGACTTTTAAATTAATTGCTCCTTTTCTTTTCTTTGTAACCTTCCCCAAGGCTTCATTTGGGGGCTCTCTTGGAAAATGATGCACAGATATAGTCAGGTCTTTAACATCTTTGCTTTTTCTTATATTTGGAGTTTGAATCTGCAAGGCAGTTGTTTTGTTCTGTACCAAACTCTGTAATTTTTTGAACTATCTGAATCAGTCAGAGAGATTTTGGCTACATTTTTATTCACACATAATCAAAAATGGGCACTCTTAGATGTTAAAGGATCTCATTAGGTAGATCCTTCTGTATTAGTAAAGTTCCCAGAGACGTATGCAAATAAGATGGGAAGTAGGGCAATTTCTGTGGCTGAATATTATTCAATGTACTTGTGCAGTCCAAATTTGTGAGATTTTTTGTGATTTATGGAACAGAAATTCCCAGGCATTGGTCAGGACTTCAGAGCATTTGACTACTGCACAAATGCTTTTTTTTTGTATTTGGGAAGAAATCGGAGGGTGAAGAATTAATAGGTTATGTTGGTAAGATATGGTTGTCCTAATAACATGCAGATATTTCTGTTATCTGTTTAAAATTATCAATCTTTTTAAACTGTATTAGAAGTATGGACACGACCAGTCAAAATCACAAAAATCATTTTATTTTACTCAGTTTTCCCCAGAGAAATATTAGCACTGGAGGAAATGGGGACAAAAATGTTGCAAATGTGTTATATTAAATTACATTCATTATGATTATGTTTAGCAACAGTACCTTAATGGGTTAATTTGTAATAGAAGATGATATTTAACAAAATATCTGTGAGTTTCAGAAACCTTTATAATTGTATCTTTTTGGGTTAAGAAATATAAATGAGATCCCTCAGTATTACTTCTCCAAGATTAATTACCAGGTCAATGAACATATTGTCATGCTGAATGATTCCATTTACTAGTTAAAGTTTCTGAATCAATTTTTGTGAATACTTCCTATATACATTCTTCGGTCATGTGAGAGAGGAACAAAGTCACCAGAAAGTCCCCTGGAAGGAATTAGTCTCTTGCATCATACACTTGAAGACTAAGATCGAAAATTCATGGCAAAGAATGGACAGAAAAAGCCCATTGTAGAACACACTCGGTTGAGTCTAGGTGAATGACTGCTTAAAGTACTATTATTTATTGGTATAAGTGGCACAAAGTGCCCTGGGCAGAAAGCACTGGCTCCATGGAAACATTGGTACCATCAGAATTCCTCAGTACTTCTCCTGTTCTGTTAGGTAGTCAGATTGATTCCCCTCAGCTACTTTCCAGCTAAGCCACTGGAACAAATTCTCTTAGCTATTAATGACTTTTGATGATGTCATGAGCATTCAGACAGACCCCTCAAGCTTTGGTCTCGAAGCATGTCTAACCATGGGTTGTCATATTTGGTTTGTGTTACTTTATTTCATTTCTGAATCAACTGCATCTCTTGCAAGTGGAATTTAAGCAAACAGGACACACTAAAGTGTGACTTGAGGAAAACAAAAGAATGTGAAGATTACGGTTCTTTTTACTTTAAATGAGGATTCAAATAGTAAAGATGGGCTGGTACAATATAGAATTCTATGAATAAATTAAGAAGCCGTATAATCTGGTGGAAAAAACTAGGAATATGACTCATTTTCTAGATTACTATCTGACCTAGAATTAGAGGGTATATTTCTCACCTAGTTTGATGGGCTTGAATGAGTTGCCCTAACAGTCAGTAGTGTCCTAAGAGGTGTCCTGGAGTATCTGAAGTGTGTGCATGAGACTAATAGACACAAAAAATCGACTAGGGCACACTAGAATATATCTGGAGTGGCACGTGGACTCTAGGATACATTGAAATAGGAGTAGACACCTGTGTGGGAACAACTGAATTGAATTCTTGATCTACCCTGGGAGCCTG